ATAGCTCTTGTCCTGAAAGAAGGAGGAAGAGAAAAGGAATGGTAGTGGACGATGTTGATTGGGAAGACCTCATTATTGAGACCCTTGTTCTTCATCAAGTAAAAGATGAAGAAATTGAGAAGGGGCATTACAATACCTTACTGGATCTACATGTGTTCAACTCTGGCATTGTATAAGAGGTTCATATATAGAGGCATTCTGTGAGAAATTTCAGATAAATTTATCGTAATTGTCAATTAATATTTTGTCCAAGACAACCATCTAGAGCAGATTTTTTGTTGCCGCAAGTTTTGTACGAACATCTTTTTTTGTATGAATGATGATGGCAATTTTGTTTGTTACCTTTTAACAATTCAGGGACCTTAATGTACATACATGATATCTGGATACAATGATGATTCTATATTCATCTTATTTTTGTTCTGCTTTTACTATATTTCTGTTCAAATTTTAGTTACAGCTTGTTTTTGGTGATGATAGAGTTTTGGAATATTCATTTTTAACCAATTGTAGATGTTAGAATTATTGGTTATTGTGTTTAAGTTGTGTTTAAGTGTATGTGAGCTGTGAGTGTGTATATGCTGTATATGAGTGTGTGTGAGGTGTTCCATTCACTTAATCCTATAAATATAGGATTAAGGAGAAGGGTGTATTAACTAAGTGATTCAATAGAATTCCATTTTCACAGTAGGGTTTGGGAAGATTTGTTTTTAAGCTGGTCTGTTTATCAGTGGCTGTGACCGTAAATGCTTGTGGTTCCCACGAATTTGGAATGATTGTCCGAAACTGTAGCTACATATATCTATATAAGGTACTTGTATTTTAGTTTTAAATTCTATATTTGTATGTGTCATTTTCTTGACTAATGCAATGAACTTTGCACACTCAACTGGAGAGACTGTAGTTTATAATTACTTATTTTGTTGTCTTTGTAATTCTGTTTTACTCTTTTGGGTCATAAAATTGAATCTAACTTAGGCTACCATTCAACTTAATGATGTGAAATGGCAAAACTCTGGTACTTTAGCAGCATTCAATTGCTAATGGAAAAGTGTGAACATGAGAAAAAGAAAGACATGAATGCAAGACATGATGGTGTATCAAACAGTCTTATAAGATATTTGTTGAGATTCAAGGGTTTGGGAATGCATGTGAAATAAAGCTTAGTGTTGGGGGCATTTGCTTTTGGGGTTTGTGCAATATATTCTACCTTCGACTACCTGTGACTTCAATTAACTAACTAAATACTTGTACAATATGTTATTTGTAACATCCCAAAATACAGTAATAACCATAAATTAGAATTAATTACATTTCATAATCAAACAGTGCAGTCTTTACACTAAAAACTAATGTTCATAAACCAAACGACTTTAAGTACAGAATTGACTACAATACTACAGAAATAATAAGAGTCAGGGACGAACGGTTTTACAAAACCAAATAACCGAACGTTCAAAAATCAAAACTAATTAACTAACATCTAAACAAACGAACGCTCTAGGGTTCGGCCTTGACTTCCACGTCCACCAGATTCTCCTCTTCAATAACATCTTCTAGCAATGCCTCGCTTTCTGCTCACATTCACACGGATGATCATTGCATTGACAGGACGGACGTACAGGGACGAGAGACAACACAAGGAAAAACGAAGGGTAAGCTTATGTAATTTAATTCATACATCAACATTTAAATCAAACATTTCAACAACACAAGAATAGTTCAACACATATAAAACCATACGAAATCTACCACTAGACGGACTGTCCGGACTGTATGAATTTGCGTAGCTACAGGCGTTCTTGCACCCGGGTGATGTAGTAACTGGAATAATCACATCAGCGGCCACCCGAGGTTAGCCCTATCCAAAGTACCCCTAAGGACTAGGACCTCCTGCCGTTCCCACACATGACCTACCCTCCTCTACGTGAGGACGAGTACTCACGGAACATCAGAATGAACAGCCAGCATTAGCATGCCCACAGTCATACTTTACAAAATTCCATATTCATCCATACATGAGTCGTTCCTCCCTGGAACGCTCGTTCAAAATCCACAATCATTAATTCATCTCATATACCGTTCATTCATTATCATTCTTCACTTTAACCTCATTTTCGTCTTTCATTACATTTACACAAAATAACGAGCGTTCAGCCCTCTTCATAACGAGGACGAACGTGAAAAACGAGATCGAGAACTTCTCGTTTCAGAACTGAATAAGACCGACACATCAGATTTACCGAACGTCATTTTCTATTTGAATCAGTTGAATGAACTGACTCTAGGAAGATCAAATCACTACTCAAAGAATGATTTAAGTAGAGAGGCTCTAGGCCGAATTCAAATAGATGAAGACACCTCAAGACGAGTAGAAGACCATACCGAGAACAATTTAATTATCGAAGCCGACTGCCAGTCAATGACCGAACGCGATATACTGATTTATAGAAATTTGGACGAACGCTATTTCTACCCATTTGATAATTATAGACAAAGACGAGCGTTCGGTATAAGACCGAACGCCACTCAATACGTACGCTTTGGGTCGAGACCCATCGCTGATTTGAACTCATAATTATAAATAGAAATAAGGTTATTACAGGATGGTGAAGATAGAATTCAGAATGACTAAGTATCCAATTATGTTTAAAAGTTTCTCAAATCCTCACACAACACTCAGTATATCTACGTTGGCCGAAAGCTTAAACGTAGCACTAATAAAAGAGGGCGTTCGTCCTCAACTAGAATTCTTTCCAAATGAAAGAATTCAATTTCAAAGAAGTTTGGTAACAACACCGAACGATCAAGGACCGTTCAATGACGAACGTTCATTATCATAGGTAATTCATATTCAAAGTTTCATTTACATTAAACTCATTTCTCAATATAAACATTCATACTTTCACATACTCATATCATAGCACATTTCATAATTCTCATACATCAACTCATAATCATAATCATATACCAAAAATCAAATAATACAGATCATACTTCAAACCACACACAGAACGTTCATACAGCACAATACACACATACGAATTAAATTGAATAAGCTTCCCTTACCTGGATCAGTGGTGAACGTCTTAAGAGTATGATTTTGATTCGTCCAACTACAGCTTTCTACCCTCAACGATTTTCTTAATTTCTCCAACTAAGTCTAACCATCAGAAAATACAGAAGAATTTAGATTATACCCTTGCATGCAACCAAATCTTAGTTTTGCATGTAACCCAGAAACGAACGGCTAAGGTCGAGAAGCTTACCAGTTTCAGAATCTGGATCTGTTCGGTCCAAATTGAAGCTTACGGCGTCGGGAGTACTTCTATGGTTTCTGAATGATGAACGGAGAAGAGAAAGGGTAAGTTTCAGTAGAGAGAAGGAAGAGGTTTCTAGAGAGAAGGAGGAGAAAATGGATATTCAGAATTTGGGGAGGAAGACGGTGCATGCAGAAGAGTGTGGCAGGTTTTTCAGAAATCATTTTTGTTTGCCCCACGTCCAAACGGTCGTGGGCTCTTTTGCTGACACCTGCCCTCCATTCACTGACTTCAGAATGTTCCATTTTCACACTTGGCAATTGTGCGTCAGAGTTTGTGAGTGCGTTTTTAAGACACCTGAGCAGGGTTTTGGGAGTAATTAATGAGATTTGACAGGTGGGTTTTTGGGTTAAATTTCCAAGGTCTTACATTATTCCTCATAGAAATAGCATAAACTATACTATTTGATTGCTGTTTGTTGAGCATGTAAATGAGTCACATTCACAACACTTTATCCATANGCTTAAAGAACTAATGGAGAAGGATGTTGGTGTGGATATAATGCCGCCATCGTTTGTCAATGGTCAATTGAAATGTAAAATGAGGAAGGAGAAAATCAATGCTGCTAAGTTGCGGATAAAACGAATTATGCATCCAGTAGATGCTAATCTAGGTGATGTTTCTGTCCCTTTACATAGCTCTTGTCCTGAAAGAAGGAGGAAGAGAAAAGGAATGGTAGTGGACGATGTTGATTGGGAAGACCTCATTATTGAGACCCTTGTTCTTCATCAAGTAAAAGATGAAGAAATTGAGAAGGGGCATTACAATACCTTACTGGATCTACATGTGTTCAACTCTGGCATTGTATGAGAGGTTCAGATATAGAGGCATTCTGTGAGAAATTTCAGATAAATTTATCGTAATTGTCAGTTAACATTTTGTCCAAGACAACCATCTAGAGCAGATTTTTTGTTGCTGCAAGTTTTGTACGAACATCTTTTTTTGTATGAATGATGATGGCAATTTTGTTTGTTACCTTTTAACAATTCAGGGACCTTAATGTACATACATGATATCAGGATACAATGATGATTCTATATTCATCTTATTTTGGTTCTGCTTTTACTATATTGCTGTTCAAATTTTAGTTACAGCTTGTTTTTGGTGATGATAGAGTTTTGGAATATTCATTTTTAACCAATTGTAGGGTTTGGGAAGATTTGTTTTTAAGCTGGTCTGTTTATCAGTGGCTGTGACCGTAAATGCTTGTGGTTCCCACGAATTTGGAATGATTGTCCGAAACTGTAGCTACATATATCTATATAAGGTACTTGTATTTTAGTTTTAAATTCTATATTTGTATGTGCCATTTTCTTGACTAATGCAATGAACTTTGCACACTCAACTGGAGAGACTGTAGTTTATAATTACTTATTTTGTTGTCTTTGTAATTCTGTTTTACTCTTTTGGGTCATAAAATTGAATCTAACTTAGGCTACCATTCAACTTAATGATGTGAAATGGCAAAACTCTGGTACTTTAGCAGCATTCAATTGCTAATGGAAAAGTGTGAACATGAGAAAAAGAAAGACATGAATGCAAGACATGATGGTGTATCAAACAGTCTTATAAGATATTTGTTGAGATTCAAGGGTTTGGGAATGCATGTGAAATAAAGCTTAGTGTTGGGGGCATTTGCTTTTGGGGTTTGTGCAATATATTCTACCTTCGACTACCTGTGACTTCAATTAACTAACTAAATACTTGTACAATATGTTATTTGTAACATCCCAAAATACAGTAATAACCATAAATTAGAATTAATTACATTTCATAATCAAACAGTGCAGTCTTTACACTAAAAACTAATGTTCATAAACCAAACGACTTTAAGTACAGAATTGACTACAATACTACAGAAATAATAAGAGTCAGGGACGAACGGTTTTACAAAACCAAATAACCGAACGTTCAAAAATCAAAACTAATTAACTAACATCTAAACAAACGAACGCTCTAGGGTTCGGCCTTGACTTCCACGTCCACCAGATTCTCCTCTTCAATAACATCTTCTAGCAATGCCTCGCTTTCTGCTCACATTCACACGGATGATCATTGCATTGACAGGACGGACGTACAGGGACGAGAGACAACACAAGGAAAAACGAAGGGTAAGCTTATGTAATTTAATTCATACATCAACATTTAAATCAAACATTTCAACAACACAAGAATAGTTCAACACATATAAAACCATACGAAATCTACCACTAGACGGACTGTCCGGACTGTATGAATTTGCGTAGCTACAGGCGTTCTTGCACCCGGGTGATGTAGTAACTGGAATAATCACATCAGCGGCCACCCGAGGTTAGCCCTATCCAAAGTACCCCTAAGGACTAGGACCTCCTGCCGTTCCCACACATGACCTACCCTCCTCTACGTGAGGACGAGTACTCACGGAACATCAGAATGAACAGCCAGCATTAGCATGCCCACAGTCATACTTTACAAAATTCCATATTCATCCATACATGAGTCGTTCCTCCCTGGAACGCTCGTTCAAAATCCACAATCATTAATTCATCTCATATACCGTTCATTCATTATCATTCTTCACTTTAACCTCATTTTCGTCTTTCATTACATTTACACAAAATAACGAGCGTTCAGCCCTCTTCATAACGAGGACGAACGTGAAAAACGAGATCGAGAACTTCTCGTTTCAGAACTGAATAAGACCGACACATCAGATTTACCGAACGTCATTTTCTATTTGAATCAGTTGAATGAACTGACTCTAGGAAGATCAAATCACTACTCAAAGAATGATTTAAGTAGAGAGGCTCTAGGCCGAATTCAAATAGATGAAGACACCTCAAGACGAGTAGAAGACCATACCGAGAACAATTTAATTATCGAAGCCGACTGCCAGTCAATGACCGAACGCGATATACTGATTTATAGAAATTTGGACGAACGCTATTTCTACCCATTTGATAATTATAGACAAAGACGAGCGTTCGGTATAAGACCGAACGCCACTCAATACGTACGCTTTGGGTCGAGACCCATCGCTGATTTGAACTCATAATTATAAATAGAAATAAGGTTATTACAGGATGGTGAAGATAGAATTCAGAATGACTAAGTATCCAATTATGTTTAAAAGTTTCTCAAATCCTCACACAACACTCAGTATATCTACGTTGGCCGAAAGCTTAAACGTAGCACTAATAAAAGAGGGCGTTCGTCCTCAACTAGAATTCTTTCCAAATGAAAGAATTCAATTTCAAAGAAGTTTGGTAACAACACCGAACGATCAAGGACCGTTCAATGACGAACGTTCATTATCATAGGTAATTCATATTCAAAGTTTCATTTACATTAAACTCATTTCTCAATATAAACATTCATACTTTCACATACTCATATCATAGCACATTTCATAATTCTCATACATCAACTCATAATCATAATCATATACCAAAAATCAAATAATACAGATCATACTTCAAACCACACACAGAACGTTCATACAGCACAATACACACATACGAATTAAATTGAATAAGCTTCCCTTACCTGGATCAGTGGTGAACGTCTTAAGAGTATGATTTTGATTCGTCCAACTACAGCTTTCTACCCTCAACGATTTTCTTAATTTCTCCAACTAAGTCTAACCATCAGAAAATACAGAAGAATTTAGATTATACCCTTGCATGCAACCAAATCTTAGTTTTGCATGTAACCCAGAAACGAACGGCTAAGGTCGAGAAGCTTACCAGTTTCAGAATCTGGATCTGTTCGGTCCAAATTGAAGCTTACGGCGTCGGGAGTACTTCTATGGTTTCTGAATGATGAACGGAGAAGAGAAAGGGTAAGTTTCAGTAGAGAGAAGGAAGAGGTTTCTAGAGAGAAGGAGGAGAAAATGGATATTCAGAATTTGGGGAGGAAGACGGTGCATGCAGAAGAGTGTGGCAGGTTTTTCAGAAATCATTTTTGTTTGCCCCACGTCCAAACGGTCGTGGGCTCTTTTGCTGACACCTGCCCTCCATTCACTGACTTCAGAATGTTCCATTTTCACACTTGGCAATTGTGCGTCAGAGTTTGTGAGTGCGTTTTTAAGACACCTGAGCAGGGTTTTGGGAGTAATTAATGAGATTTGACAGGTGGGTTTTTGGGTTAAATTTCCAAGGTCTTACATTATTCCTCATAGAAATAGCATAAACTATACTATTTGATTGCTGTTTGTTGAGCATGTAAATGAGTCACATTCACAACACTTTATCCATAAATCACATTGTAGGAGAAGATATTATGTGTGTTGTGAAATTATAGCTTTAGCACTTCTATTTCACACGACTTAAGTATGTTCAATGAATCTGAAGGATTGCATGTGACTAGCTAAATTCTAATGAATTTATTACATCTATTGAGGTTACTGTTTTAATTGATTTTGACAAGAAGTTATGTTATCTAGGAAAAAGAAGGAGTCACATGGAGACAAATGGTAGTCTCTCTTCTCGACCTCCTTTATGCTCCATTAAAATTTTGTTTTACTTGTTGAACTGGTTGTCCTTGCTGCATCCATTGTGAGCAAATATGGAAAAGGTGAGTTCTGTGTGGCCCTCAACTTAAGTCCTTGATCTTTTTCTTTGAAAGAATAGTTGACTTTTTTTTTAGTAATCTGAACTTGAAACACAGGCTATATGGTTTTAGGAACTAGAAGGTATAAATTCCTATAGGGCTAATCGCTTTCCAGAAGTATATATATTAGTTTGATATGTGGGAATCTACTGTCAATACATCTTTTGATTTAGTTTGTGGTTCCTGATATTGAGATAACCAAGTAACTGATATATGTTGTATACTCCTATTTTAAATTTATGATACATGATCTGTCATTTTTAGTCTGTTTTCTTTTATATGGAGTTAAGAAATCCTTTCCTACTTAATAACTCAATCTGTTAGTTGTGTATGTATCTCAAATATTGTATCTTATCAATTGGCCCGTTACTAACTATTGTCAAATTCAATATTAGTTTTTAGTTTGTGTGAGACCCCTAACTATTATAATATATTTTTCTCTTCTCTGCATAACTCAATAAACGTTTCTAGTTGTATGATAGTTAACAGGTGTTTTAGTGTTAAGTGTATGAGTTTAGTAATTTTAGTCGGTCTATGAGAATATCATAATATGCACCGGTATTTTTTTAATAATTTGTTAAGACAGAATATGTATCTACTACAGTATAAAATTTATACTGTCTATGATTTTAATACAGTACATATAATCCTTACTTTTGGATAAGGAAAAACTGTAGCTTCTGTCATTTCTTCATTTTTTTCACGGGTTTTGTCCTCTTTTGCCACACAATTGCATTATTTCCTTCTTTTCCCCACACGCACAGGTATTGTTTTCCATCCTTGGACGTTTTTGCTTCCTATCAGATTTCCCTTTGTGTTAGCCAATGGGAGCAAATCATGCACAGGATCTTATATGTAAAGACGGAGACAATGAACGTAGATTAAGGGAAGTAAGTTTCTTTGTCTTCGGAAAACGTCCATCTCTTAGGCGGCTGGCTGCAAAAATAAAACATTGGGTTCCTTCTTAACTAGGGAGAACGAAAATTAATGAAAAAATAAATAAAAAAGGATGAGAACGTAAGATTGAGATAGGAGACGTGATTGTGCTTCAGAAGTTTTCTGTTAGTATCCGAGTGTGGAACGTAACCAGTAACACTTCCTCCTCACTCTCACATAACAATAGATTATTACTGAATAAATAAATCTCGTTTATTGATAGCAATACTGAATCAAAGAAAGAAAACAATAATTGGGAGCATAATCTCCGTCAACTATTCTGGAACATAATCTTCTTTACAAAACTCAATAATCAAAAGCAAGTCTTTAACTCTAGATCCCTTTATTTATACTAATTAATTCTCTCCCAAAATGTATTTAATATTAGAAAATAATTCTATTTACTGGATTTATCCTGACTGCACCGATGGTTGATAGGATGAACCCCTAGACCCATGAGAAAAGGATGGTCTAGCGTAAGGGGTCTTCTTAGTACTAAGTCCACCACGAGACCCAGATGGTCTCCCATTCCTAGCAGGCTGACTTTGTTGTCCCTCAGATTCCTTTTTCGTCTTCTGTAGATCACGAGACATCTTTACTAATGTAGGGAACTCTCTGATGCGTAACCCCTTTACCAGCAACTTGATATCACTCCTCAAGCCATTCTCAAATTTTCTGCACTACCACTCTTCATCCACTGCCATAGTGTTGAAGCGAAGCAAATGCTTGAAGCGATTTGCATACTATGACACTGATCTGTTGCATTGTGCCAGCTCTAGGAATTCCACTTCCTTTGCAAATCTCACACTGTCCGGGAAGTACTCAGTGTAAAATTTGGTCTTAAACAACTCCTAAGTAATAGGAGTCCCACTCCTTTCAAGGATCATCTTCATGTTGTTCCACCAATGGCCAGCTTCCCTGGTAAGCAGATATTGAGTATAGGCCAATTTCTTCTCATCAGGACACCCCTTGGCGTCGAATATCCTTTCCATGTCTCCAAACCAGTGATCGGCTTCATCAGGGCTGCACTTGCCAGTAAATCTTGTTGGGCAATGTTGCAAAAAGCTCTCCAAGCTCCACTCTTGCGCAGGAATAACAACGGAAGAAACACTTGGAGGGGTCCTAACACTAGTCATCATTTCCAAGAACTCGCTTTGAGTGTTCTCAGACGACACTCTCGCGTTCTCTGCCGATACCCTTGCGGCTTCAAGATTTTGCAATGCAACGGTGTTCTGCTGAACCAACGCAACATTCTGCTGTTGCAACGCCTCGAGCACCACATTCAGCATCTGATTAGAGTCAGGTTGATCGACTCGCGGTGTAGAATGATGAGGAGACGTAGGTGCCATCTTCTGTTCACACAGAAAGAAAGACCATTAGTCTGACTCAAACTAATACAACTTCCTACACTCGACCAGAGTACGCAATCGCAAACAATGCATACCCACAACCTACAGGTTCCTAAGGAAGGAACTGCTCTGATACCATTAATGTAACATCCCAATTATATAATAATCAATATTATATAATATAGACGTTAACATCCAAATATAGAGAACAGTCCGAATATGACGTGTAATTAAATGTGAAATTACAGTCATCCAAATAAAAGGAGGGAAAATTTAAACTTAACAGCTTAGATTATTGAACACTACAAGTGTTCGAATAGGAAGATTCCTAAAGTCTAAACCGTAACCTCGGTATCCTCTAGCTCTTGCTCCAAGGGAATCTCTTCGCCAACATCTGCTCCCATCCAAGTGGATGATCATCACCAAAGAAACATACCCAAACAGCACACAACACAAACAATGCAAGGGTGAGGTAGATATAAAAAGCATGTTATACATATAGTGTAAGGACCGAGCGTCCTTTTAGAAAGGAAATTGGGTGGGCGGCTGCACGATGGCTGGTGGGAGATGGGTCTCTCCACCAAGAAGTGCTCCAGCCACCACCAGGAAGCCTCCATCAGCATTATTTTCAAGTGGGCAGTAGCTGTGAGTGGTGGGTCTCCCCACCAGGAAGTGCTTCAGCCACCATGAGACCACCATCATCACCTTCTTAAGTGGATTGGGCACTGAGGATGGAAGGGGGGGACGGTTGAGGTTCGTCCAGCTGGCACCAGTGCACGATCTTCTTTCCCTTTAAAAGAACCTATGGATTCAAGGGGGGTGCTAGGTTCTAAATTTCTGGAGGAGTGGAATTTTTGCTGCAAATCTGGGAGAGGTGAAGTAGAGAACTTTTGGAGTTGCAAGGAGATCAAGACACTACATTTCTAGATCAAAGGAAGTCTTCAAGAGGTAAGGGGAGCTAGATCCATTTGTTAGATTGTTAAATTATACTGTATTTGATACAAATCTGGGAATTGGGGGATGAAATTTGGGGTTTCTGGTTTTCTGGACAACCTGGTGCGATTCTGTAGAATTCTGCAGAAACGCGCGTGCGTCCAAACAGTGCTCGACCAAATAGTGGTCGACAAATTTCTGAACGTTCGGTATTGTATTCTGAACGTTCGCCCGAATAGTGACCAAAATAGTGGAACGCCAAATCTGAGCGTTCGTCCGTTGGGCTCGACCAAATAGTGGTCGGCCAATTTCTGAACGTTAGGTATTGTATTCTGAGCATTCGCCCTAATCGGTCATTGGAACGTTCGTACAAACAGTGCTCGACCAAGGTCAGCCACTTTTGGAACGTTCGGTCTTGTAAAGTTAGCGAGCGATAGCGTTCGTCCTTGATTTAAAATTGTGATATCAGCGCTCGGTCTTGATCATCTGAGTGTAGCGTTCGGTCGTTAGTGTTACCAGTGGGTTAAGCCTTGAAATTGGTAACGTTCGGTTAGGTGTGGATTTCTGTCGTTCGGTCAAGGTTTATTTTATACCGTTCGATTGATATTTGATTTGTTAGTTTTCTATTAAGTATTGATCTGTTACAGTTTGCTCTTGAATGTTTAGTACCGTTCGGTTAGATTTGGATTTATTACCGATCGGTCAGGCTTTGATTTAATACTGTTCGTCCCAATGGTGCTCGGTTTAATAGTGTTTGGTCTTGAGTGTTCGGTCTCGGTGTAATACTGCTGGTATGCGTTCTGTAACATCCCAATTATATAATAACAATTATTACATAATAAAGACGTCAACATTCCAATAAAGAGAACAGTCGGAGCATAACGTGTAATTAAATGTGAAATTACAGTCATCCAGAGATAAAAGAAACAGAAATTCAAACTTAAACAGTTTAAAAATTCGAACACTACATGTGTTCAGATGGGAAACTCCTAAGAAGACTACTCCGCAACCTTAGTATCCTCCAGTTCTTGCTCAAAAGGGATCTCCTCAACAACGTCTGCTCCCATCCAAGTGGATGATCATCGCCAGAGAAACATACCCAAACAGCACACAACACAAACAATGCAAGGGTGAGCTAACAATTCAATACAATAACCATACTTCGATACCAAACCATACTATGCTCACTTTACCAGATCAAATTACATAAACAAATATGAGTTACACCCTAAACCATATTGCATGCATCAATATATATCAAACACCAAATTAGAATGCATACACCAATATGCATCAATAACATATCAGAATGCATACACCAATATGCACCAAATTAGAATGCGTACACCAATATGCATCAACAACGTATCAGAATGCATACACCAATATGCATCAAACACCAAATCAGAATGCATACACCAATATGCATCAAGTCCTTCCATCCCAAGAGTCATACAAATTAACTATATCACATATATTCACATATTTTCATATAAATTACATCAGAGTATTCATTCTAAATATTCGCACATTTAATCCAACCGAAAGGTAAGGGAACTTAGAGTCGAACACTATTTAGTTGAACATCATTGGGCTGAATACTATTCACCAAATGCCATCTGCCGAGCGCTACGGGACGAACACTACTCTTCTTGGCCGTACGCTGATGGACGAACGCCAAACAGCAGGCTGAACACACAGGGACGAACGTTAAAAAACAATTTGGACGAACGCCAAACAACAGTCCGAACACTCTTGGGCGAACGTCATTTACGAACACCCGGACGAACACTATTTGCACGAACATCGTTTCCGAACACCAAGACGAACACTATTTGGACGAGCACTAAAGGACGAACGCCCAACAATAGGCCGAATACTTCCTGGACGAACGCTAAGATTGATACTTAGGCCGAACGCTCGTCATCGAACCCTAAGAATTTCCACCTTAAGACCGAACGCTCACTCAGATTGAAGGACGAACGCTACACATAAACTGAAGGATGAACGTTACACTCATATGGAAGGACGAACGCTACCTTCATAGGGAAGGACGAACGCGAAATTCCCAGATTTGCATCAAACACAGCATAAGTGTGAGACCCTTGATAATTAGTAATAGTAATCCCTGCCACATCACCATTAATGCACGTCACTTCAATACTTAGCCATTAAAAACCCCACTCCCTAATCTGAATACAGTCTCTGCCATGCACGGGGAACAGCGCCACATCATTCCTCTGAAACATTAAAAGCGCACTTTGCACCACATGCACACACGCCACCTGTCGCGGGAGAAACTTCCAATTCAGAGTTTGGTGTGCAGGTGTCGGCTTGAGAGACGTTCGTTCGAACGAACATGGATTTAACAAAACTAAGTTTTTGAAAACTCTCTCTCACCTGCACCACTCATCTCCTACCT